TAGCAACATATACACACACAAGTAGACAGACATCAGGTAGACAGACAGACAGATGGATAATTTCAAACTCTGCCATCTTCTGATGGTGGTGATTAAGGACAAAGGAATGTCCTTTAAGAAGCATCAGGGAGAAGTAGGTGAAAGAAAATGAAAAAAAAAACCTATGGAAGTTCTATAGAGTGGATGCCAACCTCTGTATGATTGAGGACATATATAAATATTTTTTAATGGAAAAGAAATCATGCCTGAGTCTTCTAGAGAGTTTTGAATAGTCTGACTTCCAGAGGTTTCAGTTAGATATATGACAAGTCTCCTTTATTTTTTCTTTCCTCTTTCTTTCTCCTTCCTTCCTCCCCTTTTTCCTTTTTTTTTCTTTTTTCCTTCCTTCCTGTTTCATTTCAAATCCAACTAAAAGAGAGAGGACCTCCCCCTCCCTCCAAAACCACATCCCCTAAATATGTGGCTTATAAACAGATCAAATGAACAGGAACTCAGGTTAATTTAATAGAAAAAATAAAATATGGAATAACATTGATTTTGGCCAGTATCAATTACAACATTTCTACTATATTTTACAAAAAACAACTGAACATTTTACACATGTACAGTATTTTGTTTCTCAATAAAAATGAATTTGGATTTAACAATGGGTCACTAGTTTAAAAAAAAAGAAAAAGGAAACAGTGGATATGAATTTTTGTCTCTATAATAATGTTAGAGGCATTTGTTAAGTATCCAAACAAATTCTTTGCTATTCATTACATAATTATATCTCAATTATGAATATATATATATATTTATACATAATATATATAAAACATTAACTTAAACTTTGAAAGCATTATGTTCTAGTTAATAATGTTATGTAGAGAAATGAGGCAGTAACAGACTAGTACTTAAACCAGTATAAATATACTCAAAATTTGGATGGTCTATGGGAAATGAAGTGGGTATGGGTGGGGTTCCATAGCTTTCGAAGTGACTGTGCTTTTCCCAAATAAAAATCATAATTTATTGCCTTTCTAATCGCATCAACTTTGAGCTCCAAATGATCATAAGCTACTCTAGCTAAATGGATTCTTCAAACAAAACAAAATTATGTTGACTTGGGATATTCTCTTGACATTATTTTATGTTCCTAGTTACATTTGTCCATAGTTCTAGACAGGTAGGCACCTGAAAATTTAAGCCTGTGTTCTACTTTTGCAAGTTTCATCCCTGCTTTCCTAAAGCCAGGTGTGGCCTACAGTATCATAAATGGAAAACAAACGAATGAAACCTATTGTTTCTCTAGTTCTTCATAAGTTGATATGTAGCTCCATATGCTTTTAATGCCATTAAAAAAATAACAAGTGGTTTTTTTTGTTAAATTTGAAATGTGGCTTAACAGTAATAAAACACTATCAGAAAATCCATTCTGTCACTGAGACACTAAAATGGCATCCTGATTATTTAGATGGACACTTTAGTGTTGTACTCCTCTATTTCACCAAAACAACGGACTGACTTTTGACTCATTTTACTTCCTTCTCACAGATATAAAGGCCAATTACTCCTAAGGATTCAAGGTGTTAAGAAACAGAGAGCAGATAGTTACCTGATAGCTCCCAGGTTAAAAAAAAATGTCCTTCTTTCACCCCAACTTTAAAGAGGAAAAAAAACAATCACAAAAAACCCTAAGTGCACAGTCTAATTTTGGTATGTTAAAAAAAGAGAGAGAGAGAGAAACTTAAAATCCAGCTATGTTCCCTGAAATATAGCCCTCTTTCAATTTGTAGAGATCTCTTCAAACTGAGAAACTTGGAAGTGACAAGAGGTTGTATTTGACTTTTTCCAATTCTGCCAATTCACCCAAAACATTTTTTTTTCCTCTGGTGTTTAGTTTGCTGGTTTCTGTAATGTGTAAAGGAAGTGAGAGAAAACCACAAGAGAGGGAATGCCCAGCAAACTGGGGACCACGAGAATGCTCAGGTAAGAACTAAATCATGACAAGGTTAAGGAGGAACAGAAACAAGTGACGGAATAACAGAATCGGTGGTGGGGGGAGGGTACAATTATGCCACCAACATACTATTTTCCAGATGTGTTTTCTTCAGATAACAAGAGAAAAAAAACACTACAGCACCATTTGAATGAATTACCTGGCCATATTGGGCACAAGCTTGAAAATGATTATGTCATTCATTAAAAATACAGAAAGTTAAAAAAAAAACAAACAACTTGTTGATTCTAAGAAAGTCCCTTTATCATATACCTCCTAGCATATTGGTCCAATTTGGAAAGATAATTTTTTTTTATATTCTTTCCTCCTCACTAGCCCCACTCCCCACTAGTATAACCAAATTAGGTTCTGGAAAAATTTAAGCCAGTATGACAAGGTAGATATCATAGTCTATAATGCTAGTATTTTGGGGTGGAGGGGGGTAGTGAAGACAGTTGATGCTCATATCTTCTAAGAGCTTCATTCAATGGCTAGGTTGACCTTGCTGATTTGAAACATGAACAGGGATCACTCAATTCAATGGTATTTGTTGAATGGAATGGAATTTGTGTTAAAAAGCTCCCAAAGAGATACAGTTAAACCAATAGCAGCAAACCTGCCCCTGGTGAAACCCAGGTGGACCATTCCATTCCTTTGTTCCCATGTTTGGTTCCCATTGCCTTCAAACAGGAAGCCGAGAGCAGACCTTTCAAGTTAAGTAAATTAAAACAAAACAAAACAAAAGAAAAAACCCAGTACATAGCACATGAAGTAGATGACAGTGGGCGAGTGTCAATTTTCACCTTGGAAAGACTGTGGCCAAGAGACATGGGTATAGCACTTCTGCATGATCATCATTCTCTCATGCTTTCTTTCCTGAAGTCTCCCCCCTCCCCCAACTATGGACACACGCACACGGAAGACCAATGGGAGCATTTATTCTGTTTTAATCCACGTCAACCTGTCGAGTACTCTTGAAACACGTCTTTCATCATCTCAGAGGGGAAACAGGCAAGAAAAAGAGAGGGTAGGGTGGAGGGAGGAAAGGGCCTCCAAAAACAAGGAAACTCTGAAGTTGACAGGAAATCAAATCGTTAGTTTAACCTTCAATTTTGGCATCAAATGCTTTGGTCACCACACAATACTGACTCTGTGATTCTGGGCGCTTAGCACCAAGTGCCCAGTTATAAAAGGTAGGCTTGTTGTAGTTTTTTTTTTTCTTTTTCATTTAAGTTCTGACAAAACAGTTCACCATCTCCCAGCACAAACTTGAGAGAGAGAATAAGAGCGAGAAAAGAGAGAGCGGTGGCTTTCTTGTTTTTCTTTTTCTTTTTCTTTTTTTTTTTTAATAATAATAATATGGATTAATCTAGAAGTCTACAGGAACAGAGAGATTCTGGGTAGTGGCCTGCTCAGCCTTGATATGTACAAGTTTTACAACAGAGTTGCTGAAGGACCTTCCGCTGACAGAGGTTGTTCTTTTTGACTAGCATACAAAAGCTGCCCTCGGCCCACGATTCTTCCGTTGCTATTCCATGAATGGCCAGCAAGAAAGGGAGGGGAGTTGGAGACGTAGACAGCATGGTGCGCACCCATGGAAGAAGGTTTTGATTGGTCAGAGAGGTAGATTTGGGGAGGGGAGGGGTCAGAAGAAACCATTCAGGAGCAGTCAACAAGAAGGAAATTTGGTCCACCCCAAGTGATTTCAATCAACAGCATTGTTTCAAGAAGAGATATTGCAGTCCGACAGGGAGTGTGATTGGTATCCATTTTATGAAAAGGAAAAACAAAAAACAGAAGACAAAAAAAACAGATTAGAGAAAGGATAAATCAGAAATCAGTAATAAATACATCAAAGAAATTTCATATTTTGAATTATCTAGAGTCAAAGAATATACAGTCATATGTATTTGAAAGAAAATAAACAAACAAACAAATAAAAAAAACCCATGAATTCCAAACAGCAAGTGAATTCGTTTTGGAAAATCTGGTGTGTCTCCAGTGTTGTCATCTCTGAATGGTTCAACAATGCAAATGATACAGCTCCCTCTTTCACTTTGATCTACACAGTGCCCTCTTGCCTAAATAAGGACTTTACCAGCCTATCAAGATTAGCTCATATGCTTATGAGCAAGGGTGAATTCTATGGCAAGGACAACACAAGGGGTATGGCTTGGATTTTCAAAATCTATTAAAATTCCTGCCTGCCTGTAGCCCAGAATAACTTGAGTTTGGCTTGAGATGTGGGCCTCTTCAAATCTGTATGACTGTCACGGCACTAAATTTTTCTAGAGAAGACAGAGTATCTTTCTCCATACTTTGTGGATGTAGAGACATCTTCCCCACCTTTTTAAAGGCCAAAGATGTGTGCTTAAATGCCTTTGGTACTATGTAACTGTTGGGGATATATTTGTACAGCCTTCAAGGCTCCTTTGCCACGTCTCTCACCCCAGCATTGTGTAGGCATACATCAGAATCAGTTCTAGAGATGGAAACTTCTGCCAAATGATTCCAAAATAGAACCTGAGGTGGTGGTTTTGGTTTCTTCCCAGACTCGTTTCAATTTTATATCTCTCAGAGGAGGGGACATTCATTTAAAGAGGAAAAAAAAAAGCCCTGTATAACTCTTGGGAACAGGACAGACTCATAGACTGTGAGTGCCTTGAGAGCCAGTACCGTCTTTTGTCTTTCTTTGTATCTTCAGACTATCTGGCGCACGTAGATGCTTACCAAATGCTTATTGAATGACATTGCATTTTTTATTAATTTTTGCCTCTTTGTGAAAATTTCAGGCAGAGGTGAAAAGCAGTCAAAGGAAGGGAAAGAAAAAAGACACAATGTCTTCATTATGGTCAAATGGGATTGTCTTTCAAAGTCATGATCCCACTCCCCATATCAAAGCTGTGCTTAACTGATTTGTTTCTAGGATGACATAAGTATATGATACATCACTGCAAGTATGAAAGTTCAAGGGCACTTATTTCTATACCATTCTTTGATGAAGCATCGTAAAACACTGTCAGTATAACTGCATGGACACAAAACTAAGATCCCAACTTGAGCAGAACTTGTCTGTGTAAGAGATGGGAAGTTAATTATAGAATCATAAAATGTCAGAACTAGAAAGAACCTTAGAGTCTAGACACTTTGTACAGAGGAGAAAATCGAGGCCAGAGAAGTGATTATTATTTGCTCAAGGTCACAAGCCACATCTAATATTTGTATTCAGAGAATATCATGACTAATTGAATCAGATTTCAACCTCTCTTTTATTTCCATTTCTTTATCCTTTGTTCTGGGCCATTAGTCTATTTGTTTGGTAATTGGAGAATTTTGTAGCATGTTCTATAGGCATAAAATATTGCAGAATGTAAGTTATTGAATAGGACAGATAAATGTCCTAAAACTAAACGCCAGAGAAATACTTTTTTTTTTTTAACACGTGAAGACATACAGATAATGGAACCCAATACAATAAATTGGGAAATTCTTGAATCAGTGTTTTAACAACAAAAGGACCTGTTTCTCCATTTTCTTGGTTATGCATGTTTCAGCTACCATCAGTTTTCCATCCTTATGGAATAAATAGATTAATCTTCTGTTTATAGGTAAGGGTTTTCATTCATTTTATTATTCTATAGTTTAAATTATTACTTGATGATGAATGACAGGTAAGAATACCAGTGGAAAGCTTTTGCTAATTGCTGACAGCACTCTTTCAAACTATCAAAAACAGGAAATCTTATCAGCCTGCCCTGCCTATCACCCCTTTAACAAAATTTAAACCGCATGAGGTTCCCCATTATAGTGATCACAACTGATCACACAGAAGATCAAATTAGAACTCCAGTACTCACCATCCTTACAGATTGCTCCAAGGACGCAGGACCCTGTATCTAAGAGATAATTACTAGGGCAACTGGTACAGTTTCTGTCTCCGGGACCACTGCAGGCCAGACAGCTGGCAGCACATCTAAAAAACAACATAACGACTTATTATTATTTTCTCTCATATGACTCTTAGGAGAAGGCAAGCATAATGATATCTCCCCCAAATTCCCCACTTGGAGATGACACAAAATCTTTTCTTAGGATAATTGTTCAGTTCAACAATATTACAGGAAACATAGCAAGTAGAAATTTCCTTAAATGTTTTCAAGATCTTGCTCATTTGAAACAGAGAAGCAGGACTTCAAAGGCTTCTGAGGATCATAATTCAAGGCCTACTTTTATTCAACAAGCATTTATTAAGTTCCTGCTGTGTTCTAGGTGTTGAGGATATAAAGGCAGAAATGAAACCATTCCTGTCCTCCAGGAGCTTCCATTCTATTGGGGAGAAACAACATACACTCAGATAAGTAAATACAAAAAATATCCCAAATGATGTACAAAGTAATCTAGGGGCTCAGGGAGAGGGTAGTAGTGGCTGATAGGATCAGGATGGGCCTGGTATATGAAGAAGCACTTGGGGTGAACCTTGAAGGTAACTAGCAATTCTATAAGATAGAAGGGGGGAAGAAATCTATTCTAGGCATCGGAAAGAGCCTGGGCAAATAAACACAGACCTTATTAAATGTAACCTTTCCTAATCCCCCAGCTCCTAGATACTTCCCTCCTCCAAACACATGTATTTATTACATTGCCTCTATGCTCTGTGTACTTACTTAAGTGCCTCTTGTCTTCTTCTCTGTTAGAATATAAGTGCTCTGAGGGCAGGCACTGTTTCATTTTTGTCTTACTAGCCTCCCGAGCCTAGCATTGTGCCTGCTACCTCATCACCACCACAAACATTTATTTAATAGTTTAGGTTTTTTTTTTTCCACTCCTTCTCTTGGAAAACAAAAAAATCATTGAT